GGCTCCATTCTCCATCCCAACCCCAGATGGGGCTGGCAAGAGGCCTTAAAAGGGCTTAAGACATAGCATTACTGGGAGAGGTCCACCCCATTCTCCAGTATTACAAACCTGGGGCCACATAAAACCCTCAAACCAAAGCAAAGAGCCAACCTAAAAGTTAGGTCTACCTACACTTATGTTACAAATGAATTCTAACCTTGTTCATTCTTATATTCAAGTTTGAAGCCAAGGCTGTTTTCATAGCCTCCTAAAAATAAAAGTCTATTAGTGATGCTGTCAGCATCTGAAATTAATGGGCTTGGAACAAAAGATTATCTATCTTGTAATGCCCAGCTGTATTCTGAGGAAAGCATCCTTACTCTGAAATTCTTCTTCTTGCTCAAAATGGAAAGTCAATATTGTTTTGGCCTTGCGCCAATGTGCACTTGCATGATCTGCATATCTATCAGGCTAGGTGCTCCATGAGCTAGTAGTAGCTGCTGGTGAAAGCTCAGAAGCTTATTTTAAGCACTCACTGCTCAAGTGTTGGAGTGTGTGGGGGTAAATTACAAATTACTTTTGCTCCAAGCCATTTGGTCAAGCATTTCTAAGCAGAAAAGTTAGCTCTACCCCCAAGAGATTATAGCATGAAAATGTGATCATACCAGTGCTAGTAAAATATATATATATTAAAAAGGGCAAAAACACATTAACTAGCAACAATAGCACTAGATTTTTAAGAAGTTGCTGTTTTTGTTTTTGAAATGAAGAGCAAAGTTTATTATTATTTTATTATTTATTTATTATTATTATTATTAGGTCCTTACTCATGGGGAAAGCTGCTTGTTAGAAACACTGTTTACAGAAAGCTTTTTCATTCCCAGACAAGAAATTCCACAGATGTTCACTATGATATGAAACAGGATCGTGGGGATTATAAAAATGTTGCAATCAGTTCTTAGCAAAGGCAGAAGAGACTCTGCTCTACCCACTTTCCAAGTAGCAATTTTCTGTGCCAAATGGGATGAGTGAGAGGACTCCTCTCCACCCAAGATACTCTGCACAGGTTCCAAGGAAGCTGTAGACAAACACAGAACACAGTTATGTACTATTCAAAGCCTACACACACAAATGACGAATGCATTCCTATAACTCCTAGTATTTACCATATTTTTCACTTTATAGGACGCACTTTTTCCCCTTCTAAAAAGTAAGGGAAAATGTGTGTGCATCCTATGGAGCGAATGCAGGCTGCGCAGCTAAGCCCAAAGCCAGAACAGGGGCAAGCGCTCCGTCTTCTCGCTGTTCTAGCTTGGGGTTAGCTGCTCAAAGCCTCTGCTGGGCAGTGGGGTGCCTTCACCCCCTGCCCGGCAGAGGCTAGAAAGGCTGCCCCCGAAGCCAGAACAGCAAGAGGCTATCCCAGAAGCCAGATTCCTCTTGCTGTTCTGGCTTCCGGGGTTCAGAATTTTTTTCTTCTTGTTTCCTCCCCCCCCCCCAAACTAGGTGCATTTTATCGTCCGGTGCGTCCTATAGAGCGAAAAATACAGTACTTTCCCTTATGCCCAGGACTAGACAAAGATGCAGGAATCTAACAATACCTACAAAAGGTATAGAATCTGTAGGGGTGGGGAGACGAGCCATAACATATTTGCCCAAGGTTGACATCTAAAAATATAAAAAGCTCAAACTGGCTTAGGAATTTGAAATATATTTTTCCAGCATTGCCTATAACGCTTTGGTCATTTAAAAGAACCGTTATTCCAAGACACGCACTTACAAAATAAGAGTACTTAAAACCGTATTTTATTTTCTTCTACAAGTTTAGTTAAGAGCATGTTTCTGCAATTTCTTTAATTCTAAACATACTCTGGTTTTCTTCAGATTTTACACTTTTCACACTTTAATTCTACACTTGTGGTTTCAATGTATTCAGTATGACTTCAACATTAGTATCTTACAAAAGCTGCTCAGTCTGGTAGAGTTTAAAAAGAAGTTAAAGCTATGAGGGAGACAACCTAACGATTGCTAATCTTTATTAATGACTTTTAAATTCCTTTTTCAAATTAATTTACCTTATCTTTTACAAGTCTAGCCCTATGGCCCCATTCTTAGCAGATCAGGCTGCTTCTAAGTTAACACATGTTCCAAGTAGTCTATTAAGTTATGTATTTAGAAGTACTGCATCTAGAAAAATTATTTTGCCACTGCAAGACTTGAAGTTAAAAAACATGGTGAAAACTCTGCACTAAAAGTTACAGTTCAACATATCCTGCAGCTTCTCATCCTACAAGACAAATCTGTTACAATTATTTTAATGTCAAAGTCATCAACCCATGGCATTTACTACCTCAATCAATAGAAAACAAGTCTGATTACATTATCAATTATTCTGAGATAACCCCTGAACTTGCCTTCATCTCTTGAAGATGTAAACAAATCAGAGGTTAAAAGAGAACTGAAGAGTCAACAACCCATCTCTCTCATTTATCATAAGGCGGACGCCACAGGTGATGCATGGCTTTCACAGTTCCACAAGCCCAAGCCTAGATTGCTACCAAGGGTCTGTGGCTCAGAAGTGTGAAATTATTTCTTGTATACAAAAGAGGTTCTTGGGTGATGAGTCCTAGGACAGTGACCGAAGATGGACACATTTGTGTAAATATACCCACATGCAGTGCTCTGATGCTGTGCTTGGTTTTCATATTTTAAGACAAAGTTTCCACATAGAATCACTCTTCCTTGGATGAAAAGCTTTAGTTAAAACGATCTTCACTTGCTGTTGGGGAAATATGAAGACGGAGAGCCATTACACAGTTTAGCACAACTTCCAATATATCTAGATGCCAAGAATAAGTCTGAGAAATGAGAAGTCTAGTAACTCTGCTTCAGGATACTTGTTAGCCAACTTCCCCCTAACACAGATACGTTTCCCAAGAAAGATAGTATTATGCTGTTTCTGGATAAAGAGGATGATTAGTCACCAAACCACAAACCTTACCTCAAGCAGCAGCATAGCACCACTGCAAGAGAACAGAGTGAATAGCTATGAAAGTTATCATTAACATCTTAAAGTTGCATACAAACCTGCACTTGTGCAAAGGGCAATGCCTGTGCAGTGGTGGATATTGCCCATATATGTACAACAATGCATTTGCAAAACAATTCTCAACAACACAAGTGCATTTGCAAAACAATGCACTTTTCAAGAAAGAGAGGGGAAGTGTGTAGGCAGCAGAGAGGATTTGGAAGTAGCTAGGTTTGAAGATCAAAAGGCAGCCTGATTTAGCTTCTGGTAAAAGCTGCCAATATAGGCACACAAGTTCAGTGGGAGAAATTCACGGCCAGTTTGTTTTAAGTAACTGCAGTAACTGAAAGTAACAAGACAGCAAAGGTTTCTGTCCAAGCAAAGTAGGGAGAGTCAGCAAATGGCAAATATCAGAAGTTCACAGAACGTAGTGCAGATTGTGCTCCTCCCCCCCCCTCCCCAAGCTCAAGGGCAGTTTGCAGCAGCACCTTGAACAGAAAACCTTGCAGGTCTCGTCTGAACACACTTGCCTAACTGAAGTATCACCACTTTAACTAGGTGAACACAACCCTAACAAGGTAATTACACATGTTTTTTACTTGACAAGTCAACACCCCTTTCCCTGTTTAAAGGCTTTTTTATACATAGTGCAATCCAAGCTTCAAGCATCTTAAGTCCTACTACAAAGTACATCCTAGAACAGCCAACATTGAAAGCAGACATGCGTAGCCATCAGAACTAGTTATTTTCAAAGCTTGCTCATAAATAATATTTGGCTGAAGTCACAAGGTCCTATCATTGCCAATATTCAAGCTGATATGCTACAACTCTGCCAAAAGCCAGTAGCCAAGTCTCACATTTCTGTTCTCCTTGATCTGATCAGATCAACACGGCACAGGTAGAAGCGCCGCTACCAACAGAGAAGCAGAACACTGCAGTACTCCAAGGCAGCAGCATGCCTCTCGCTTCCTTACCGTAGCAGTGTTTTATCTCAGACATCATTAATCGTCCTGCCTCCCAGCTACACAATACCGATTATGTTGGGGGTTGGGGGGGTTGGGGGGTTGGGGGGGGAGATGGTTTGCTGTGCATGTATAACAGATCCCAGCACTTCTGCAGCCTGACATATTTTTTTACCACTACTCAGCAAAATGCATCCAACCTGGACAGCAGCAAAGCCATTAGCCCAGTGGCAAAACACACACAGCTCCTACCATTAATCTAACGCTGCCCAACTGTCAACCATCCCCGAGATGCACTTAAATAAGAGTAGCGTTTGTTTAGCAGATTCCCACCCCCAAGCCCATTTCAGGGCAAGAAGTACAGTCAGCTAGCACAGTGAATATAAGAACGGTATTGCTTTGAGGTCCATTTAGTCGCCACAGCAAATAGCGATAGCAGCTACCAAGTACTGGGATGCCCATAGCCCTATACACAAGGTTGTGTGTGCATGCGACAGAGAAAGGTGCACAAAGAGAAAAGAATATAAGGCAGGGTGTACAGCACACCCATGGCTTTTGCCACCCCAAGGGCAGTACACCTCTGAACTCAAGTGCCCAAGGGCACATTCCTACCCCACAGGCAGAGAAGCACACAGCCTACCCCACAGGTGAAGACATTTCATCTTTCCCCTTTCTAACTACACTAGCCAGTCCCCTTCCTCACTAGAAGCTACTGGCAGGAATCCCCTGTAAAACAGAGAAAGGGGGTGGGAGAGATGGGTGGATTAAAGAGAAAGTGTGCATATGGGGGGGGGGTTGCAAGTACGTGCTCCCTTTCAGAACTGCTAAATGGGGAGGTAGATAGAGCTATGGGGAAGGTACTGATCCGGAGTATGGGAAGCGAGGGGGCACAGAGAGAGGCCCCGCATTGACAGGAGGAGGAGGAAGGAGGAGAGGGGTGGAGGGAGGAGGCGGAGGTTGCGGCGGAGACGAAGGGGGCCTCCGCCGGGCCAGCAAAGCAACCACCCCCCGCCCTAGGAAGCGCCGGCTCTTACCGAGTGGTTGACCCCCCACATGAGGACGCTGAGCAGCGGGTCGCTGGCCCGGAAGAGCTTGACTTTCTGGGCCACGAAATGCTTCTTCTTGGTCTTGGTCTTGCTGGCCATAACGGACACGATGTTGCCCGGGGCCGCCATGGGAGACGCCGAGGAAGCAGACGCGAGAGGAGCAGGGCAGAGAAGGAGGGACGGCGATGCTCCCGCCGCCGACACAGGAGGAGGTGGAGCAGGGACCGGCAGGGCCGGGAGGAGAGACGGAGCGCGGCTGTGGCTGCGCGGCGGGCGCTAGCGCGGTTGCGGCAGGAAGGAAGCGGCGAGCTCGTCCCTGGCGCTGCTGCTGGTGCCGCAGCTGCTGCTGCTGCTGCTACCGCCGCGAGACGCTGCCAAGCGCATCCTGGCCGGGCCGCCTGCGCCGCCGCCGCTCGCTGAAATGGCCCCGCGCGCCGCCTCCGCCTCCTCATGCCACGCCCTCTACCCTCCTACAGGGGGGAGGCCGCCGCCGCCACTGCCTCCAGCCCACTCCTTTGGCCCCGCCCACAGAGGCATCGCGCTCCCAGCGGCGGAGTTGCGAGGCGAGGTTGCGGCCGAGCCAAGGCTTCTTGCCTACTAAGGAGCATGCGCGGCACTTCTGGGCATGCGCGGCGGCCGAATGTGAAGCCGCCTTTCCCCCTTTTTCACCAACTCCTTTCCCCCCTTTTGCCCGACGCCTCGTTCCGAGCGTTCTTCTGCTAACTTCAGACAAGTTGGTTGGATTGTAGGTGGCGGGACATTGACTGGTTAAAGTCTCTCCTGACGAGCAATGGAAAACCGGTGTTGGTTGGTGCGTTCTCCCGGTTTTTAAATTGTTCTGAAGACACGTTTTGCTGTTGTAAACTGTTTTCGAGATTTTGTTTTCATGGGAGATAGGTCTGGGTCCGGGGAAATGATCGAATAAATGGTCTTCTGCTTCTCGTCCCGATTATCACATCAAGTAGATTGGACAAATGTAATTTTAAGTTGTTTGAAAACTGTTTTCAATATTGTGTTATAATATGTTTACCAGATTTTTTTCAATGAATCCGGGGACACTTTTTCTTTTTTTTTTTTTTGAAGCTGAGTAGCAACAGGGAGTCAGTAGTGGGGATGGTGAGGCAAAAGACCCTGGGCCCAAGCACACATGCATATTGTATAAAGGTGCAAAGCCCTTCTTTTGCACCCTGTGAAACATAAATGCGCAGAGTTTTTAAAAAAACTGGGCAATGGCCGCCCGCCCGCAACTTCCAAGCCTCCCCCAATCAGTCAAAACAAAGGGGGAAGGGGGCAGGAGATCTATACCGCCGGACATCCCTGGTTCCCATTCGACAGTGGTGGCGGTAGCGGCAGCCTCAGCAGCCTGGAGCCAGCCTGGTAGTGCAGTTGGCTCTGGCTGGCTTCAGGAGCTGCTCACTGCCATGGTGCCCGCCATTTTTCCTCACTGGGACATCATATGGGGACTTCCAGTGAGGAAAAATGGTGGGCGCCATGGCAGCGAGCAGCTCCTGAAATCAGCCAGAGCCAACTGCGCTACCAGGCTGGCGCCAGGCCGCTGAGGCTGCCACTGCCACATTTCCTGGGGACAGATTTGCAAATCTTGGGACATTCCGGGGACAGAATTTGTCTGGTGACTGATTTGCAAATCTGGGGGCTATCCCTGGGAACCAGGGACATCTAGTAACCCTATGTTACTTTAGGGACTTTAGGGTGAAGGGCAAGTGGGTACGTACATAAGTAAGTAAGTAATGTAAGTGAACACATTAACAAATCTCCTTAAAATGCCTTTAAAATATTAAGTTGCAACCCAACCCTATCCTGGAGAAACCTTAACATATAGCAGTTGTTTTTATTGCATGGAAATGGAGGATCTTCTTTTTGAATTACAGCCTATCCTGTTCTGCACACTGGGTAGAACAAAATTGGACCTTGAGGCTTTGCTGCCAGAGGCAGAGAAGCAACTGGTGCCTCCTGCCTCCCATGTACCCAAGGCCAGTCAAGTTCTTTTTGGCATCTGATGCAACAAATCTCACAGATACTTGACAAGAAAAATACAATAATAATAAATTATATAACTATCACTTTACTGCCCTCTCGTGACACTCAAAATCAGTTCCCTGAGGCAGCTGCTACGCCTAATAGAAGAGTTGGCTAGAGCAAAGATAACATTGATACTAAATTTCACCGCGCCAGCAGAATGAGATGCTACACTGTTGTAATGAATTTATATTAGAGTTGCAACACAAATGCTGCTAGCATGCTCTCTGCACTGGTGGGATTCCGCCAATGCAAGGGGGAAATTTTGCAAGGTGGGTGTAGTGGGGAAAGGGCCACATTTATTTAGTTCAAGTCTCATGCTGGCTTGAGTCAGGGCCTAACTCCTTCTGAGGTTAATTACGTGGATGCAATTAACACACAGGTCTTTTGAGCCCAGAGACCACTAGGAAGATTAGCTCTTTATCTCACCTCTCTGAAACTGCTGCCTGCATTTTAGGGCAGTGGTGGCTAACCTGTTGGGACCACAGCTCTCTCTCACCATTCCCAACTACTAGCCATGTTGGCTGGGGGCTTTGGGAGTTGGAGTCCAACAACATCTGGAGGACCACAAGTTCTCCATCCCCGCTTTAAGGGAAGCTTCTACAGTGGTACCTCGGGTTAAGTACTTAATTCGTTCCGGAGGTCCGTACTTAAGCTGAAACTGTTCTTAACCTGAAGCACCACTTTAGCTAATGGGGCCTCCTGCTGCTGCTGCGCCGCCGGAGCACAATTTCTGTTCTCATCCTGAAGCAAAGTTCTTAACCTGAAGCACTATTTCTGGGTTAGCAGAGTCCGTAACCTGAAGCATATGTAACCTGAAGCGTATGTAACCCGAGGTACCACTGTATTCATGCCAGTGGGAGCTTCCTTTGAAATGCAAAGAGCAGCTTCAGAAAGGAGATTTTTCTTGTGACTGGCAAGGAGAGAAATGTGCAAATCACATTTACCGTAGTTTGACCCTTACCCTGTGTTGATGGTGTGATCTGTTACATCTGTGAAACCAGTGTTGTAAGTAAAGACACTCCCACTGGAGTTAATGGAGAATCTCATAACCTGATACAAGGAATGGGGTGCAGAAGGAAGATGAACTGCTGAGATCAGCCCCAAGCTACTTTTCTTTGCATGGAGAGAAATGTGTGGGTATCTTGCATCTCTGATGGCCGCAGTGCTCAGCAATGACACCAGCAGGTAAATGCACATAATGTAACCAAACTTGCCCTCAACCATTGTGCAGATCATTTTGCACCCGTTCAGGTTACTGAACATATAAGAGCATATAAGGAAGCAAACAGAAACATTAGATCAAGATTTGAAGGGGGGGGGAATGAGCGTGCATAGAGAAAGCTCCACCCGCTGCAGCAGTAGTGCCAGATAAGGAACTGAAACAGGCACCACCTCATAGAAGAAGAAACTTTATCCCAGGTTTGGAGCAACTGTGGTTGGCTTTTAGCAACGCCAACATCCTTGTGGGAAGAGATACCAATCAACATGATGGTCTGAGTCACTAAATTTGGTCTGTGAACATCTAGCAGGCTGAATCAGTGCATTGGTTACCTACAAGAGCACTCAAGGACCCCCAAAACGAGGCTGCCCTTTGTTTAACTGGGTTGTTCACAGTTATGGCTGCATGCTGCTTGGCTCTTCCCACTGGATAGAAGCATAAGAAACTAGTAACACTTGCTAGGGTCTTCATCATTGCATCACCTTTGCATTCCGTCCTGAAGAACTCCTTATTTGGCTAGGTCAGTGCACTTTCCCATGTTAAAAATGAGCTCCCACATCCCGGCCTCAGATTTTGCTTGGCCTCTGATGCTGGTGCTAGTTTTCTTTCTCTTTGTCTTGAGAATGCAGCGCCAGCTTCTCAGTTTGGGGCTTATGCCAGAAAAGCATTTTTCATCCTGAGGAATCCTTATATTGTTCATCAGAGATGTTCTTCCCACACCTAATGCATTCCAGGCCATGCCTGTTTTTAGTTACTATTGTTTCTTGTTACAAATTCCCTTCTTTTAGAAATCTGCTATGGCTGCATATCCTACATGTTACTACGAAGTAAATGCCATTGAAATAAGTGGCACATACTTTCAAGTAAACATGGTTAGGATGCGGGTGTGTGGCTTTGTACACACTCCCATTTATGCTACATCCAGTGCATTCCCACTACTGGTTTGGGAAGCGATGTACACATTCCATTAGCCACAATCAATGTCTATCCTGCTGTTTCTGATGAAATGCTGCATTTTGATGCATTTTTTGTCTTCAACCAGCTTCAATCCAAATTGAGAAAAAGAATTATCGTACCTAGATGCATTTTAAGTCAGCACAGCATGCACAGCCCTATGTGTGTGCTTTACTGTCTATGGAAACTAGAGCAGCATTTTTAATTCCTCCAATTTGTTTACAAATCAGAAAATAAGGACAGCACATGGCTGTTTTTAGTCTAGTACCTCTACAGTGCCATCTTAGGCTCAGAAAGTATTCTGCTACCTTTGCAGAAGTTTGAGTTTGAATGTGACAGACCCTGCCTGAAACCCTGTTTGGCGGTGAAGCTAACTAGGAGATTTGGGCCTGATCAGTGTGCATAGGATTGCATGGGTCAGTGTCCAAGAATATTCTTCAGCAGAATATTATGTATGCGCCTAATTCTCTTTGAAATGAGGATCTTGCATCTGCAGCAAGTAAAAGTACAGTGTTGGAAACCCCTGCTGCTATTTTGCATGTGCATAACTCTTGTGTGGTTTTCCCCACCCCATCCCTTCCTACATTTGCAGATGATGTTGCTGCCAACACTTCCTCTGCAAGCTAGTAATAGGTCAGCTGTCAGGGTTTGCAAACTGCAAAGGAAGTACATTTTTGTTGCTGAAGAAACTGCCGAGTCAATGCAACTGGCAGTTCTGTGATGTCTTTTGTCCTACAGCAATGCACACTACCTATGACACTGAGAAGGTGACAGTGATGGCATTATCCTATATATGTATATACCAAGAAACATGTCCCATTAAGTTAAAAAGGACTTACTCCCACATCTATGCGCACATATACACATGTGAACTCTGGGAGCTGTGTTTTATCTTTATGGGGGAAAGCTGCAGTGAGTCTCAGGCTCACACATACCTCCTCCACCACCACCGTCTCCATTTGGGCTGCAATAAGGAGATTGCAAGCTTCCACTCCTGTTTTAGATTAACCACAGATTAGCATGTTGTTCTAACCCCAAACTGTGGCTAATCTTAATTATAGTGAGCTCGAACAAACCAGCTTCAAAACATGAGTAATGAATCTGGCTTGTTTTCACTAACCA